TTGCAAATTCCGAGAGAAGTCTGATAAAAAACGAAAGAAAAAAGGAAACTTTTTGAGAAGAGAATCAAAATTAGAGTACTGGTCAAACAGTCACAAATCAGATTGCTCCTGTGTTCAGAACGAAAATAAAGCAGCCCTTCCCTGTTCAGAACAAAACTAAAGCAGTAGTGGGATTCTTTGCACCCACTAAATCTTTGTTGAATCAGATTGCTCCTCTGTTCAGAACAAAAATGAAGCAGCCCTTCCCTATTCAGAACAAAACTAAAGCAGTAGTTGGATTCTTTGCACCCAATAAATCTTTGTTGAATCAGTTGCAGACTCTGCTGCCAGTCTATGGTGAGATCCTATCTCTTTGTTTTATTATGCCGTAATCACATTTATAGATTGAGCTCCATTTTTCCTATCCATCCAAATAATTCATCTGTTTCATTCATGCTTTTTACTTTGGTTCTTCTTCGTCCATGGACTTCCACTGGGTCCTTTTACTTCGTATTTTCAGGTAAGAGTAACTGAAGTTACAAACTTTTGTTTTGCAACCTCTCTATCTCTCTGTTCAGGTAATCGAGCAATATGCGAATTTTACTAATGATTTATGTCCTACATATATAATCTATAACAGACAAAATAAGTTTTTACTGCACTTCCATGGAATTCTCTTGGTAAGAGCTTGCGATTCTCAGAAAACGACATCTTTCGTGGGAATTCTCTAGGGTTTCTTTCTCACTTTTACTTTTACCTTTTATAAATCCCCGTTGTCTCACGAATATCATAATCTCTAATGCACGGACACGAAAGCTAGTTAACAGTACTGTAAATGCTTCAATGAAGCTCCATTCTTAATTATTATTATTTTTTTATTATGAGTATCTATAAAGAAGTGACAAGAAAACTTGTGCCCCGTGTTGCTGATATATATTTAAATTCGGATGCACCTTTAGCTTGTGCTGTTCAACTTTGAAATTCATATGCTTGCATTGCCCTACTCTCTTGCCTTTCAGCTTTTAGTTACCAGCAATGATGGCGAACCAAGTCATGAGCATTCTGGAAAAAGAATTTGAATTCAAGTATTGAACTTTGAATTATATGGTTGTGTTAGCCCTATATGTTGCCTTGTTCAGTTTTCATTTAACAGCTTAATAATTGAGAACCAGGTTCTAAGAAGTAAATGACTAATGTTTTTTTTTTTCTTTTTGGATGTTGGATTCTGATTGCAGTGGCATCATATTTGTGGAGTTCATCATGTGGTTGTATTAATATGTGCTGAATGACAGGTCCTGCAAGGAACAAATTCATTATGCATCCCACTTTAGTAATAGCTACTTCTTGGGGCTCTGTGCAGCACTAGCTTTTAAAAAAAAAATGGTTTTGATGTCCGATTGTTGCAAGGGATTTTGTCTTAGAAAGTTGTTTGGAAGGTTTCAATTTTTCAGTGTGTTAGGAAACTTTGAGTTGAGAAAGGTTGAGTTGGGCTCTGTGCAGCATAAGTCATGGATCTCCAGGTTGTTTTCTACTAAAACTCATCCAGAAAGGTTGAGTTGGGAAAGTTCATCTCATGCCATTCTGTTGAAGAAGATTGAATCGGCTTTGAAAGGTCATCAAGTGACTGAAGCATTAGCAGCTTTTACTGACTTTAAAAGTTTATATGGTTTTCCCAACCGTTCTGTTTTGAGTAGGCTGGTCTCGGAGCTTTCGTACTCTTCTAATTCGCACTGCCTTCAAAGAGCATGTGATTTAGTACATTTGATCTCAAAAGAAAAATCAGGTTTACTTCATCCTGATATACTGACCAAATTGTCACTATCTTTAGCAAGATCTCAGTTGCCTGAGCCTGCTTCAGGGATTCTTAGGTTGATGCTGCAGAAAGACAATTTGCCATCAATGGAAGTACTGCAGTTAGTTGTGCTGCATATGGTGAAGACAGAGATTGGGACATGTCTTGCTTCCAACTTTTTAGTTGAGATTTGCAACCGTTTCCTACAATTAAGTATAATGAAAAATGATCATGCAAATCTGATGAAACCCAATACAATGATCTTTAACCTTGTGCTTGATGCATGTGTGAGGTTTAAATTCTCTCTCAAAGGCCAAGAAATTATGGAGCTCATGTCACAAACTGGTGTGATTGCTGATGCACACTCTATTGTTATTATTTCCTGTTTACATGAAATGAATGGTCAAAGAGATGAGTTGAAAAAATTCAAAGATTATGTTGATCAATGTTCAGCTCCAGTTTATTATTACCAGAAGTTCTATGCAAGTTTGTTGAGTTTGCACTTTAAGTTTGATGACATGGATGCTGCTGCTGACCTTGTCTTAGATATGTGTGGGAACAGGGACTCTTTTCCTATTAAAAGAGCGAGGACAAACTCCCAAAAGCCTTGCCTTGTGCCAATTGGACCCTCCAATCTTAAAGCAGGTTTGAAACTACAGGTTGTGCCTGAACTGCTGCAAAAGGACTCTGTTCTTGCCACAGATGATCACCAAGACCTTGTCACATTTAGGAATGGCAGACTTCTTCCAACTAACAAGGCTCTGGCAAAACTCATCTATGGTTACAAGAGACATGGAAAGACTGCTGAGCTGTCAAAGCTTTTAGTCAGCATTCAAATGTTGTTTCATTCACTGGGTGGATCCAACTTATGTTGTGACGTTATTGATGCATGCATCCGTTTAGGTTGGCTGGAGGCTGCCCATGACATCTTGGATGACATGGAATCAGCTGGGAATCCCATGGGCTGTGCTTCATATAAATCACTTTTGATAGCTTATTACAAAGCAAGTATGCTTAGGGATGCCAAAGCCTTGGTAAAACAAATGAAAAAGGCTGGTCTAGAAATAGATTTATCTGACGGAATTGATGCCTCTGCATGTCTATCTGAGGTAAGCAACAAATACCCATCTTCTTCGGTAGGTAAATCAGAGTTGATTGACTGTTTGGTGGAAAAAATTAAAGAAAAGAAGGAAATTCTTCCTATGGTTTATGAGTTAAATTCGTCTCTTTACTTTTTTTGCAAAGCAAAAATGATAGAGGATGCTTTGAAGACCTACCGCCGAATGGAAGGAATGAAATTCCAACCTAGTGGGCAAACATTTGCTTTTTTGATATATGGATTTTCTTCCTTGGGAATGTACCGTGAAATTACAATTTTGTGGGGGGATATTAAAAGGAATGTGGAGAATGGGACTCTAATGTTGACCAGGGATTTGTATGAGCTCTTGCTAATGAATTTTATTCGAGGTGGTTACTTTGAGAGAGTGTTGGAGGTTATTGGTTGCATGGAAAGGTGTGGCATGTGCACTGACAAGTGGATGTATAAAATGGAGTTTCTAAATCTTCATAAAAACCTATACCGGAGCCTAAAAGCATCAGTGGGTAGATCTGAGGTTCAAAGTAAGAGGATTGAACATGTTCAGGCATTTAGGAAGTGGGTTGGCATTGACTAAAATTTTGCTAAAAGTCTTCAAGTCTATTGAATATTCCAGAGGAACGGTCTAGGTGATTTAGCATTTTTATGCAAGCTTTCACCTGCATAGAGGAAAGTTTTTTTTTTTTGTGGGACCTGAAACTTGTACATTTCGGCCTTTGTTTTCTATACACAATCAGAGTAGGGAGAATCGATGATTGATTTAGCCCACAATACTTTTTTTCTCTCACAACCCAAATGGTGTTTGATACCATATCTTCCTAATTGAATTTAATTATTCTCAACAACATTCTGAAGGGGATAACATTCTGAAATTCAAGCCTTATTTGGAAACTAAATTCTTTTCAGCAATTGCTAAAGAGTAAATTATTTACTCTTTTCACCAGAGAATCAGATACTTTTGGTGGACGCTATTTGCTCTTTCGCCGGGCAAGTAAGTACATATTATTTTCCCAGACATGAATTTTACTAGCATTAATGTGAGTTATTTAACTGTTTTTTATTGGAATAATCAGTTTTTAGATGCCCAATGGTCATCAAGTTTACTCCTCTCTCTCTCTCTCTCTCTCTCTCTCTCTCTCTCTTCTTTTCTAAAGTCTTATTCTACTTTTTCTGAAATGATCAGGAAATTTGGAATGTGGAAACACAATTTGCCATCTCGTTATTCATGTAATGTCTAATGTAGTAGACACAATTTGCCATTCCCTAATTCAAGATTCTAAATTCCATCACTACAGGTTGATGCATGACCTTCAATTACAGATACGGCAGCTTATTTAGCATGTCATTATCATTAGTCTTTGTGCACCGAAATACATGTACAATCATATTCGGAATATTTAGTACTTAATATTCCTGGGGACTCCTGGAAGTTTGATTAATGTAACACTAGCAGTTTCAAACTTTGCCCATTATCTGAAAGCTCTTTGAGAAACATAATCTTAATGCTCAACCTGCTGTATTGTGAATTCTTCTTGTGTTCTTAATCTAAAATTTTTAACTCGATGAGTAATATGAATCACTGCCTTTCTGATCTTGCCCACATATTCAAATTGAGGGAAATTTGTGTCTCAGTTTATGTTGCCTCCTTTCCAGCAAATACGAACTATTTATCTCTGTCAGTTATGTGATCATTCCCTCTTCTCTGCTACTGGATTGTATGTACTTATTGACATTCTTGTGCCTGCCCGCATGACTTGCCATGTCTAGACAGTCATGATTTTCTTGTAGTATCTCTATCATACATATGCACATTATACTGACTGCACCTTTTGTTAAATGTGCCATTCCAAGAGTTGTTTGGAACCAGCGTGCTAGCCTGCAGCCACCTCATGTTCACTAGGAGGATCAATCATTAGGTAACCCGACTGCTCAGCTCCGAGTCAAATGACAGCAAGGCTGTTATAGGACCATGAATGCCAATTTGGCAAAGGGTTGGGACCAAAGCTGCACCTCTTGTCCGGATGAGAGTCAAGAAAGGTTCCAGTTGAGCCATACCGCAAAGGCCCAGGATTTTTCAGAGGATTTGAGAAAGTTGAGAAAAGAAGGGTCGGGTAGGAGGGGAAGGGTTGTGATGAGATCTTGATTCCTTCCATCAAGCACAGTCCTACCGACAAGGTGCCAAATCTTGACGGGAGTGGACGTGCTGCCTCTAGAAACTGTTCCAAGCTTCTTTTACGAACAGCTGTCTGTCAATCTTACCACTATGAAGGACATAATAGATCATATGTATTTTTTTCATACACTTTTGGGTGATTCTCTTTGGGCAGTTGGTGCCATTGGAATTCCATGAATTATTGCCAGAGTCATGAGTAGTGCTCCAAAATCCGAAAAGAATAGAGACTTCTAGTTTTTCTTTGGTCCCTAAATAGACTAAAATAATGATTTGGTCCTTATAGTATTTATTTTTATTCAAAGTAGTCCATGCTTTTTATTTTGGTATAAATTAATATATGCATTTTTGATAAATTTTCGATTTAGTCCCTCACTGTTAGTAATTATTAACATCGTCAGCTTTTTTGCTACGTGTTAAATTTATCGACATGTGATATTTTTTAATTGGTCCAGTTTTAAATTAAATGCCATGTTAGATGGACGTAATACATTTTTTGTTTCCTAAAAGATAAGAATGGAACCAATAATAAACCATTTGTAGAACAAAAGTTATTAAAGAAGTTACTTCAATCTACGTATGTGAGATAATAAAGTTGTAAAACAAATTTTATAAAGATATTTTTCACTCTTGTAATAATCTTTACTTGGTGTATGCATGAATTAAATGAGTTTCTTTTGTACAAAATATCGAGTTTGCTTATTACGAATGATGTAATGAATGAACTCAAAAATTTAAAGTTATAAATCATAATTTAAAAACGAAAAATTATTAGATTTAAAAAATTGAAAAGATGTATTACACCACTTTACATATATTGGTTTAGTTGTACACGAGATTTAGAAAAATACTTTTGATGAAAGGGCATAAATCCAACAGAAAAATACGAGACCTCCATTTGATATGTCTATTTACTATTAGGAGCATTTAAAATTTATAATTAAAGTGAGAACCAAAAAAATAATAATAAACTTAAACTACATTAATAAAGATTTTTTAATAATTTATATTTTTTTGTTGATTATATTATTTAGCAATAAAACAGATATTATATGATAATTAGTAATATCATATGGCAGTAACAATTGAGCTTAAGTTTTCAGATATTGATATTTTTATACATATATATATATTTTAAATATGAATATAATATTATTAAGTATTAATAAGCATACTGATAAAATACAAAAAAAAAAAAAAAATTTATATAATGTAAATACATCTATTTATTACTGTAGAATCTATGAACTTTAAAAAAAAGTCAAAACAAATAAAATTTGTTTATAACTGAGAATAAGATTGAAAAGTGAATCAGAGTAGATTACGTTTAGGATGATGGTCTTCGACCTTACGTGTAAGGATCACGCGACATCGTTGACCCCTGGCATCATGGTCCAAATCGTCTTCCTCAAAGTAGCTTCCTCCCTTGATTCTTAACTGACCCAAAGAGTCTCTTTCTCTGTGGAAATACTAGTGCAAGCAAAAGTCCTCCCTTCTTTTCCCCTCCATGGCGTTTCCTTTTTAAGGTATCGATGCTTCTCATTGGTCTCTGTTTCTTCTCAATCACAAATCTGGGTGGTTTCCCATTTTATCTCTCTTCACTCTTAGCTAACTTTAATCACGACTGTTTGTGCTTCTTGCTTCTGTCAGAAGCTTGACTTTTGAAATTGGCGTCTTTGCTGCTGTCAAGTTTGAGTTCAGATAATGGACACTTCAGGCCAGGAGAAGGAAGATCGGAGGTAAATATCATTTGGGAATTTCTTGGTCTGCTGGTTTTAGGACCTTGTAGTTAGGGTTTAAGGTATTAAACTGGTCTGAATATTGATTTTCCTTTGTACTTTGTCGTTTTTTCTTTTGCAATAAGCTGAATGTTTTTTGTCAACTGTGTGCTAGTAGACGATTTATTGATGAGTTCGGAGTGGGAAGTGCTGTTTCCATGTCACCTACTTTGACTTCACGTTTCTGTGAAAAATATACTGGAATCATTTCTGGATTATAACTAGAACCCCCTTTTTTCTGAATCCATCTTACATCAATAACCCGACCTCTACCAACTATAGGTAATTTTAGACAAGTTTTCTTTGAAGTAGATACCTGAATGCCAAGTACGGCCCATAATAATCTATCTTCTGGAGCATACGATGATTCTTTCGCCACCTGAGATGTTAATTTACCTACTAAAATATTGCCTGTCTCGATCCAAGATCCCAGCCTCACAATTCCATTTTTGTCTAAACTGCGGAGTAAATGGCCTTCTAGTTGCGGTATTTGTTTATTTCCTCAGAAAGCTGATAAATACGTGAAATGATGCTTAACTTAGAGTTCAAGCAGGTCATTTAGACACGATATATGCTAGTTAAAGCAGTATCATTTAGACACATTATATGCTAGTTGGTTTTCTTTTCCTCTTCTTCTTCATTCTCTTTTGTTGAGTCAGTTAACTGTTTCTGGTCTTGCAGCCAATTTCGAGCGTTAGGAAAATAGCTGTATTTTTCTCTCTTCTTCTTGAGTACTATATATAGTTCTAATTAGGAAACCAAGGTTCTGTTGAGCTGCCTTGTTCGTACTTTGATCCTATTCTATTTCTATCTTAATTGTATTTGATGAGTATAATTTTTCATAATTTACATATTTGATGAATATGAAATCAACTTTTTTTACATATAAATGTTTTTTTTATTTAACTTGTGAATGGAGAAACCCTAAAAACTTGTAAAACTGAACATATATGGAATTTATTTGGAGTTACAATAACTATTTTTGTTCAAAAACTAAGGCCATTTATATAATATTTTTACTCCTCTTTCACAGAATTGAAATTTGAATCAAATTCAGCCTTAGTACAAAGTTCTTTCATATATCAAAGTTCTTTATTCTGGTCCATATTTATGTTTTTACAAAGTTCCTTCATATATCAAAAAGTAATACTATTGATAGAAAATTGTGCAAGGTAGAAATTTTTTAGTGATAGTTATAGGCTAATGCATAATCCCCTTTCTCCTTTCCTTTTCACTTTCGTCATGGATGTTCTAAGTATGATGTTCTCAAAGGCACAAAGAAGAGGGGCTGAAGGTAGTTACGGATATGGTAGAAGTTTCACACATTCTGTTCGCTGATGATATAATCCTGTTTTTGCAACATGACAATCAGTGCATTCCTCGGGTTCTGATTCTTATTTAGGTTTTTGAAGTTATATCGGGCTTAAAGATTAATTTGGGAAAGAGTGGTCTCATTGGAATCAATATGGCCGGGGACACAATAGAGGAACTACAGAGGAAGATTGGTTGTTGCAAGTTGGAATTACCAATCATTTATCTAGGAGTTTTCCTAGGAGGTAATCCTTGTAGTAGATCATTTTGGAATAGAGTAGAAAACAAGGTAGCAAAGCATTTAAAGAGTTGGAATGGTGGACTACACATTAGGAGGCAGGGTCACGTTGATTCAGGTGTGTTTTTCCACTGTCCTACTATATTACTTATCTCTGTTTAGGATGTGTTGCAAGGTTAGCAAATAGGATCAAGGGTCATATGAGAAGGTTCCTTTGGTCGGGTATAGAGGAGAAAAATAAGGATCATCTAGTAAATTGGGAGGTGTGTTATAAATCCAAGAGGCCAGGAGGTCTAAGGACTGGAAATCTTTGATTAAAACTTATTTTTATTGGCTAAATGCCTTTGACATTTCCAAGGAAGCCGAGTTCCTTGTGGCATAGGGTGGTTAGCAGCATCCATAGGAGTGAGAGGGACGAAATGGGATGTCAAAGCAGGAAGGTATGTTACTCACCATAATCCTTGGAAAGCTATCACCCAAGCTCCAAATCCATCGTCTTTATCAGGCCCTCTCTCTTGATGTTTATGTTATGTTTCTTTAGGGTAGAGGAAACACACACTCATTTGTTTCTTCACTGTGACACTGCTTGGGAATTATGGGTGAGTATTTTTAATTATTCAGTTGTTATTGGTGTCACCTTCGACAATGGAGACTTTCCTTAGTGTTTCCATCAATGAGAAAGGGGTGAAGAAAGAAGCTAAACCATTTCGGCAAAATGCCCTCTTCGTAGGCCTATGGTGCAGATGGTTCGCTTGCAATTCTACAATTTTTAACAACAAATAAACTTCCTACGCTGAACTTTGGGAGAGATTATTTTTTGGCTACCTTATTGATGTAGAATTCAGGATCAACAACGCAATCGAATATCCCCCATATACATCAACAACCAAAAACTCAAAACCCGAAGTAAACCATTCCTATTTGACCTGCACTCAATTGGGGAGTGCCAGGGTAATTGGGATGATTATTTGAATTGATTAAACAACATAAGGTGGAACCTTGATAAGTGAAATCAATTTAAGAAATATTGATAAAAGACTACAAGAACTTATCTTAATAAGTTGAATCAATTCTTACTTAATAAGAAGGTTGATGAAAATCTAATTAGTTGAAAATTAAAACTTCATAATTTTATTATTCTCAAACTTGAATGAATATAACTATGAATTGATGACTTATTTATAGTGTAAGCTAAGTAAATTATAAGAAAAATAATCTTCTAAGTTAATTACAAAATTACATGGGAAAATAAATTTAGAATAAAATAGGAAACTTGTAACAATTAGAAGGATTGCTTTTGAAAATATGATAAATATGATCTCCCTATGAAGAAATCTTTTTAAATGGAGAATATTTTAATAAATTGTGAAGATATCTTCATTTAAAGGTTGCAGATTTAATTTTCTATTTTCTTGAAAGATTGATTGATTTAGGAAGATTTTATAATTTAAAGACGATCTCTTGAAAATCTTTTAATTTAATGAAAATCTCTTAATTTAACGAAGATTTTTGAATTCCTTAGGAAAGTAAATTCATTCATGATCTTGCGATAAATATTTAAAATCCGTCCATGATCTCTCTTGATTTTTCTAATATGTGAATATACCTTTTTAGGAAGATATGATCTTGGTTTGAAAACTTGGAAAGATATAATTTCGATTCTCCCTTGATGAATTTTCAAAATTTCTTAATCTTGATTTCTTTTTTGCCATTTGAGAAAGATATGGAGAGAAAAATGAAACTTTCTTTCTTGAGAAAAAAATATATCTTGAGTGGGAAAAAGTCTCTCATGAGTGAGGAGAGATTTCCTATGGACTTTTAACTTCGTTATGGGACCCTTTCTCGACTTGGTTGGTTGCTTGAATAGTTCAAGCCATCCATGCTCATATCACTTATGGTCCAAAGCACATGGTTGCTTTTGTGATATTAGCATCTCCATTCTCCACCAAAGATGGTATGCATTTATTAATAGTGCATAGCCTTTGTATTAAGTTTGTTACTTTATCTCTTTTCCTATCTTTCTTTGGTGTTGTTTTCTTCTTTGTATTTTGAGGATGATGTCTCATTCTCCTTTGCTGTAATTTCTTTCTCCCTTTCTCGATAAAGTATTCTTTTATTGAAAAAAACGTACATAATCTTCTTTATATTAATAGTTTGACAAAAATCTTATGTGATAAAAAATTTGTAGAATATAATATTTTTATCAATTAATTAATTAAAAGGGAATACAACTTGAGTATATCCCTATTATAGAAGATAATTTCCAAGTTGTAAAAGCCTTTTTTTGGGAAACAATGTAAATACCAATTTTTTTCCTAATCTTAAACCAGAAATTAAATTTAGAATCTGAATTTTGCTAATGCAATGACACTCACTTTTTCTGCAACTATTTTGATTTAAATTAAAATTTTTTAACAAACATGAAAATAAAACTATATGTGGTAAGTCATGTATTCTCGAAGCTTCTTTGTTCTTTTTTTTTAAATAAAGTAGAAGCTTCTAGGTTATGAATCTGCAATCATTTTCAAGGAAAAAAATTGTTGAGAATAAATTATTCAACG